CATCAGCAGCTTCTTAAGGGTTGGCAAACAACACAGATGTCCAAATGGAGGGCTGAACACTCCCAGATCAGTCCTGTGCTCTTTCCCTCCTGGGAATCCTTTTAAGAGCTACACAGGGACCCAAATACTGACCTTTCCTTGGAGACCTCTCCTGGATGGAACAAAAATATACCACAAGAAAAAGCCCCGTTCTTTGCCTAATACACATCAACGGTAATGGGGACAATAGCAGGAGGGGTTGCCGAAGAAGTGGGGTAGTTGGCTTTTCAGCCGTGCTGTGGATGAGGAATGCGTCCCCTGGTGGGGTGGGAGGGTTTCATTAGAATCATCACCGTTAGGTAGCAGACCCTTGGAACTTTGAGATCTAACTGCCTTCCTGAGTCTTTATCAAGTGAGGGCTTTGAGGAGTGCACAGCGCCCCGTGATTAAAGCACCACATTATGTTGTCACTAAATGATTTTCTTACTCATGTGTGTGGTAAAGTACGGTGGTCTGTTTGGGAAAGGGGCACGGTGACAGTGGGGGTGATTCGCCACCATGTCTCCTGGGGATGCACTGATGGTTTGCAAGCTCCATGGGAGCTTCTTGGCCCCTGTGCTCAGAAGGCAGGGAGAGACCCAAGAAAGGCCACTCCAGGTTGGTAGATGGCAGTTTTAATAAGCAAGAAACTCACATGCTGTGATTCTCTTGGGCAGCATCAAGACTGTGGATGCTTGCACCTGCCGACTGCATCTGAAGATTTTATTCAGAGGCCTTAGCTAGGTTCAGTCATATATACCATCAAGGTGGCCTCAACACCATATCAGCACCTCAGGGCTGTGTCCTTGGAGCAGGCTCTGGGAGTGGGAAAGGCAAGCAGAACCCTCATTCCAAGGACAGGAGAGGGGATGGGGAGCCTCCAATTTCCCAGGCCCAGTTCATGGGTCAACCGGCAGTCACATCTTCTAGGTGACATCTTCCAACATGTGGTCATAGGACCTTGAGGTGGGAAGATGTGGTCAGGGCAGATGGGGTGGGGTGGGTCACAGAGGAGTCCTGGGAAAAGGACTCTTCCTCCCCAGGGACTGGACAGATTACCGGATGGGGAAGGGGGTTCCCATTGACAGAATACTTAGAAGATGAAGCACCTCTAGGGCAGGTGAGAGGGCAAGGACCCTGTTTCCCTGAACCAAAAGTGGGGCCCAAGGATTCCCCTGTCAGTTGTAGCTGTGAGTTAGGTCAGATCGAGAGTCTGAGCAATGAAATATTGGCCTTCGGAAACCTTTCTATGCATTACAGGGCAACAGAACAAGACTCAGAGCCACCTAGGTCCAAGACTGCTTAGTTAAAATCCCCACTCAAAGTCTGTCCACCCTCCTGAGAGGAAATTCCTCAGCCTCTGCTTGGACACCTCTGATACCAGAGCCCTCATTACCCTTCCTGGCCCATTTCTACTTCACTGAAACTGGATGTTTAGAAGATGAGCTTCCCCGGCATAATGCCAAACTCTTCTTCCCCATAAAATCCCTGTGTTGTTCCTCCCTCTGCCCTTTGGTGACAAAATGACCAGCATGGAACAGGCACAAGAAGACAGTTATCACCCACCCCTCTTTCGTAGCTACCTCTGCCCTACCTCCTCCCACCACCCTCTGGACCAGCTCTTCTCCAAGATCACTTAAGTGATACGGTTGCCATTCCATTCCACAGACCCTACCTGCCTACCTGTTGTGTGCAGCTGACATGGCTCTCCATGTAGTGGTGAATATGGAGGTGGGTAGGACACCTGTGTCCTCTGACAGGCTAAAGACCCAACACATGAAAGACTGTGGATTAAGAGATAGGACTAAATGTATAGGTTAGCTATTGCTGTATAAAAAACCACCTCAGAGCTTAATGACTAAAAACAACTCTTAATTATTGTTCATAAATCTACCAGCCAGTTCTGTTGATCTGGGGCATATTCATCCATGGATTCACTCATGCACCTGCAGTCAGCTGGTGGGCTGGGTGAGGGCTGGCTGGTGATGGATGGCCTCCCAAGGTTGGCAGGCCAGCAATTGGCTAGCTGTTGGCTGAAGTGGCTAGGGTGATTGGATCCCATGTCTATCCCACAGCAGGGCTAGCCCAGGCTGTTCTCATAGCAAGGAGGTGGGCTTCTAAAAAGAGTGAGCAGGAACACGAAGGCCTCCTGGGGCCTCCACTTGGGACTGGCCCTTGCCCCTTCTACCACATGCTGCTAGCCAAATGCAGGTCGCAGGCCAGCTAGGTCCCGAGGGAGTGGGGAAATGGATCCCTCCCATGCCCAGCTGCATAGGGAAGGGTATGGCCATCAGGAAGGGTGGAGAAAGGAGCCATTCTTGGTTGCATACCTAAGGAGTGTGTAAGCCATGGCAAAAAGTGAGAAGCCCCCCAACACAGTATCCAGAGAAGACACTGAGACCACAAGATTGAGGAGAAAGAAGTGGGTTCTGCTTGGTTTTTGGAAATAAAAACACTTTTCAGGGTTTTGGTTTTTTTTTTTTTTTTCCTTCAAATTAGGACAGTAATATTTGACTCCCATATAATCCAACCACGAAATCAGTCACTCGAACCTTTTGTCACTCAACTGAGCTTCCCACCTTCTAGGGGAGCTGCCTTGAAAATTGGAAAAAACTGAATTGTAAAAACCCGTGGGTTTAAATGCATGAAAGCGCCAAGGCAGGAAGTGAAAAATAAAATGGACGCAATGTACGTATATAGTGGACACATTTGGGAACATCTCCCCAGCTCACTAAACTCTCTCTTCCCTGACCCTTGGGGTCAGTTAGGGCTCCCCGTGGCCATGTTTTCCCTGTGTAATCCCTCCCTCAACATTCCTGATTGGATGACCGGGAGTAGACGCCTGATCTGGACCAATCAGATTCTTCCCTTCTGGGTAAGAGAGACTCTGTCAGTCTTCCATGGTCCTGTGCGATCCTGGGGACTGAGGAACAGACAAGACCAAGAGGAGAAGGAAGAGTAGGGCAGGCACCCAGAGTGTAGGGGGACCGGGCCAGGCAAGAGAGGCACTTGGCACCATTGAGGCCCGGCCATGAGCCCCACGTCCTTAGGAAGTCTGCCTCATTACCAAAGTCCCCCTTTTTGCTTAGGATATTCCAAAAAGAAGACATAGGGGCCAGAGATACCAAAGTGTGAAGAAGCACAGGCTGGTGGAGCCCCGAGCAGCTCAAGTCCAGAGAGGTGGGGGCATCAGGGAGCCTGGGAGCTGGTCCCTGGGTGGACCAAGAAGGGTCTTGCGGGACGGTGGACGTAGTCTGTGAGTCCCGGTAGGGCTCAAAGGTGTGGGGAGGGATCTGGCAAGAACAGCTTCTCAAAAGCAGCCAAGGGAGGGAATAAATGGGTCTGGGTTCAGGAGAAACTACCTATCCATGGGACCACAGCTCCAGTTTGAAGTCTGCACATTTAAAACTGTTATGTGTGACACAAACCACAAAGCAACAAACACACAGAAGTGTGAGCAAAATTAAAGGCACAGAACAAGTGGAGAAAATACGGTGCAGGTCGGAACGATATTCTCATTAATGCAGTAAACTCTCTGAACAAACCCTCGGGGTAATACAGCCCATAGGAAGACAGGCCAAGTACAGTCTCCAAAAAAGAAACACAAATGACTCCTAAAATTAAAAAAACAAAAAATAAAAACTTTGACATAATAATAGTAATAAAAGCACATTTAAAACAAGACCCCAGGGTGCCTGGGTGGCACAGTCAATTGAGTGTCCAACTCTAGGTTTCGGCTCAGGTCATGATTTCAGGGTTGTGAGATCAAGTCCCGTGTTGGGCTCTGTGCTCTGTGCTCTGTGCTCTGTGCTCTGTGCTCAGTGGGGAGTCCATTGGAGATTCTCTCTCCTGCTCCCTCGCCCCCTCCTTCAGCTGGCCCTCTTTCTCTCTCTTCCCCCCCCTAAAATAAATAAATCTTTTTTTAAAAAATTTAAAACCAGATCCCATGGCTCATCTCCCAACTGATACTTTCCTTCGATATATTACTTTACACCAAAGAGGGTGCAGGAAACTGGCTCTCCCACACACGGATAGTCCCTCTCTGCGTGCAGTTTGCAAATAACTCAAGCCATCTATCTGCTCAGGGCAGCAAGTCTGCAGTGCCCCACCCAGCTCCCTGTGTCCTTCTGCCTTAGGGCCCAAGGGGCCGCCTCCAACTCCACACCTCACTTTCTCTCCTAGGGGCTCTTTCTGGCTTTTAGGGTCCCCTTGCCCACACTTGGGGCCAACTGGAAGTGAAGGGAAATTAACACAACCTGGGAGCAGCCGGTCACAGACACGACGAGTGCTCAGAGAGCCCAGGACTTGGCTTCTCGCTAAAGTGGGATAAGTCTGACGTCTTACATTGGCCCCCAGCATCAACAGAGGGATTCAGCTCCAGCCACCCATAGCAGATCAGCTTCTTGGAGTCTCTCACGCCTGGTTCCACTCCCCACTCCCATATCAGGGTTTCCTTCACTTACCAAATAGCTACTTGCTCTGGAATCCTTGCCTCAAAGGAACCCAGGCATACCATAACCATCGACTTGATGGAGACAGTCATGAAAATGTACAAAGACCTAACCACTGGGCTGTTCAAAGAGGGCTCTTTTATAGCAGAAAATACAAGTGAATCCACCTAGAGGTCTTGGTTAAATAAATCCTGCCATATGCATGCAATATTTAACTTCTTGGCAATGAAAAATGCAATAAATGTTATAGAAAAGTGTGGGGAGGGCATTCCCAGTAGAGTGAAGTGAGAAAGAGGGTTGGAAAGTGCTAGATATGCTTGGTGTAGCTGCAGTATTTTATAAGTAAACACATTTGCCAAAATAGTAACTGAAGTTATTTCTGGTGAACACGATTACCAGATTTTCATTTTCTTGTGTTTGTGTGCACCTCTCTTTTCCTAATTTCTGTCATAATCATGGTTTATTTTTACAATCAGCACATGTAGCTCACCAAGAAATGCAACAAAAATGAAGAGAAGAACACCTAAGAGATATAATTTATAAGAATTTATTACTAATTTCAATTGTTCAAAACATCAGAGAAAATACACTTGTGAGACACTCTGCTTCGGGTTTTTCTCAAATGAGATCCATTTGCCACAAGCATTGATTCACCTCTTGAACACACCATTCATCAATTTCACACATCATTCTTTTCCCTAAAGTGAGAAATCAGACATGGTTCTCAAAAGATCCTAGGTCATTCAGTTATTTCAAGTGCTAGGCCCTATTTCCTGGGAATAAACAAACGTATCCTTCTTTAAATACGCCAAGTGCCGTCTGCGAAGCATAAGCTTAAATTAAGACCTAAGTTAGGATGGCAACATTCACAAGATTTCCAGAAGCCAGACGATAATGTTAGAACCGTCTTCCCGGGTTGCAGGTTGGGGGTGCGGGAACCTCTGAAACATGTGCCCCCCAAACAGTCCTTACTCCTAAGTAAGAAAATTAATGCAAGGTGCAGGAAGGACCTGTCCGACCCTCTGGCAAGTCATTTGAATGAGGACAAGGGTAGTCCAGATTAAAAATACTAAAGGGGGCAGAAACCTTTCAAGATCTCTACCTGTAGGTGTGACTACCAATTAGATTGTTTTTATTTTGAAAAACCATTCAGGGGTATCTCACTCCGGGCTAAGCATTTGTTTAATAAGCAGAATATGAATTTAATGTTGTGTCTGGTTGCAACTTCGGGTCATCTCATTCCCTACCCCCTTCTCAGTGTGCCTTGGATTTGTGAGATTTCTTAACTCGTCCTTTTCTCCCAAAGCACTTCCGGTAGCCCAAGGCGCAACATTTATAAGCAATGAAGACAACCCCCAGCACGATGGCCAGGAGGAAGCCGATCACGTCCAATGAGTGGTACTGGTACCAGGTGAGATCGTGGGCTGCTGGGCGCAGGTGTGGGGCCCCCTTGTGCCTCATCACGAACTCCACCCAGAACACAGCCAGGTCCAGGGGCTCAATGGGGCGGTCCTTGTGCAGCCTGGAGAGACGCATGATGTTCTCCTTATAGCTAAACATAGAGACAGTTATGTGAGTGTCTGGAACATTGGCCTCAATGAACCATCCTCCCTTGAGGCTCGCTGTGTTTGGGAAAGCTAACCTTGGCAGAGGAAATGAGTTTCGATTATAGACAGAAAATGCAAACGCACACACACACACACACACACACACACACAATGGTCTTTATCTCTGAAATTAAAAAAAAAAATGTAGAAAGAAAACTGGAGGCCAAAATTATGATATGAAATTATTTGAATCTTGCATCCTACTTTCTTTTTTTCTTTTTCTTGGCATTTTTGTAGGAAATTAGATACTTTTTTACAATAAGAGAAAGAAATAAAAGTGCGTGTCAGAAATTATGAGCAGTTTTCCTTTTCACAGAGTTAAACAATCCCTTCTAGTCAAAGCAGAAGCGGTTTGGAAGTGCCTTCTGCAAGGGGGTGGCGTACTTCCGCATTGGTAACACACCACACCATCCAAGTCTAGCATTAGCATGAGGCTGCATCTATGCAGCCTACTCAACAAAACAGATTTTTGTTGATTTTGGGCAGTGTGGATAGCTGAATCAGAATATCTAAATCCAAATGGGGTTCAATGCTTCAACCCTTAGTGTGGATGCTCTAGAAGAAGAAAGAGACTGAGGAGGAGGGAGGGGGGAAGGAAAAGGAGAAGAAAGACCAGAGTAAGACACTCTTCTTCAGGAGCAATTATGATAACAGACCTGTCATTATATTTGGACACATTATTGTACTGTGTAATCATATTTGGCCATAAGTCTTGTTAAACATCTTCCTTTTATATGTATCTTTTCTTAAAAAGATAGATTTTCTAGAACTTTCCTTCATTCATCCACCATTTATTGAGTGCCTGTTATGGCCTGGTTGCATCATCTGATGTTCCAAATGTTTCCATTTGCCTTTATTTTATGTCCCAGCTTGGCATGTTGGGAACATGGAGATTCACAATTAGGCAGAGATGACTCCCAAGCAAATAGATGAAGTTTGCTGGTAACTCAAGCTTATTGATGAAGGACTTAAAATAAATAAGAGAACTTCTACCAAGTCATTTGTAGGTTCCAGGTAGTTTTCTGTACCACTCAACAGAAGATCAAAATTGTACTACTAATGCACATCTCAGGAACGAGTTTTGTCAACACGGGGAGAGAAGTCAGGTTTTCACTGCATTCGATGTGGCAGTAGCCCAGCAACTGGGCTGTCAGAAGAGGCCCATCAGAATGGAGGGATGCCACCTGCTGCTCTGGGCGTGCTGGGCATTTACCCTTGGGGGGGCGGGTTTCTTTGACTTTTCTTTTTCATCCATTGGCACCACACATGGGAGCGCCCCATTTCTCCCTTTTTCCTTGCCCAGGCTCACCGTGTCACCCTGAGCCATGTCCCATCCTATCTGAACACATTCCAGTCTTTTCACATCTGTCCCTCCAACTGACATCTCTTTCAAAATGAAGCAACTACGGGTCAAGACTCCTGACATTCTCACACACACACACACACACACACACACACACACACACACGCACGTACAGGCACTCACACACACCTTAATTGTTGGACCAAGTCCACCCCTGGCTGTCACTTCTTCCCATAAGGTTTTGGCCAGCCTGTTACTAGGGAATGTGACAGCAATACAATAAATTTCATGCAGAGATCATTTGATCTGATAGCTTTTGCCTCTCAAATTGTTTTCAGAGCCACATTTAGACTTATCTTTGCTCTTATAAATTATAAACCTTTGTGATATCACATGACCCCATTCCATTTATAAATCCCCATGAGCAAAGTTTCTCCCAGGCTTCAGTGCTAGAGAGAAATGTCCTTCTAAGGACAGCTGTCCTGGTTTATTTTTATCTTATGGACACTGTGCTTCTTGTAATGGAATATTTCTCTCTGCAGGAACTCACAGATTAGATGTCTACTTGGTGACTGTATTTTTTAATAAATTGAAGTTTTAATCCTACTAAGGGAAATAATATTTAAAATCATTTCAAAGATAATGGAATTATCTTTGAAATAATAGGAATTAAATAATAGGAATTAAATAATAGGAATTAAAGCATTCTTTTATAAAATGAATAATAATAATCCCCAAATCATCTTACTTATAAATTGAGTTTTTATGTGTTTGTTTTCACATTTGAATATTGCTGTGAATGAGATGGCCAAAATACAGATAGTATCCCTCTGTACCTTTTCTCTTACCTTTTGTCACTGATGACAGTTTTCAGGGCATTTGCTAAATCTTCGGAAGTCATTTCCAGGACGTTCAAGGTCACTCCAGCCCCCCGGGTCTCCATGCGCTTTGCATTGTCCATTTGATCACCAAACAAGGGAAGCATCACCATTGGAACTCCGTTGCAGATTCCCTCATATATGCCATGGGAGCCAGCATGTGTGATAAAGGCACGAGTCTTCGGGTGACCTGAGAGGCAAAGCAGGGAGGGATGTTAGGAGTCAAGTCAGCGAGTTTCTCAGTCTAACACTGTCTAGGTTCTGAAAGCCCTCTAAGGACTCAGTGCCATCCACATGGGTCTCCTGCAGAAGTCTGCTGAGAAAAATGTGGGTTGAGACGCCCCACTGGATAAAAGGCAATGTGGAATACTCTGGCCATAATATTTTCCAGCTAAATAATCCTTTAGAACAGCCATGCACAAGCCACTTTGTTAATTTCACTTGGGTTTGACCTACACACCACAACCTGCCTGTTGGGTCCATGGTCAAAGGAGCGAGACTGATACAAAGCGAAGGTCAAGCAAAGCTTTATTTCACGCCAAGCATCGAGAATCAAACCAACCGGCCAGGGCTGCCCCTTACAAAGAGGCGACCTCTCTCTGCCTTAGAGACTAGCTTTTAAGGGCAAAGGCCATGTGGTTGGGCCTGGCCACACACAGGTGGCCAATGAGATTGTAACACAAAGGAAGTTGCACAGTCCTGCTAGGTCACACATAAGTGACCAACTGAATCAACTGAATTACAATGTACCCTATAGTAGATATTTGAACTAGCCTATCACCTTGGTCAGAATTGGCGCCCAAAAGGCAGGACCCACACTCCTTGGTAGCTAGGGAGACAGTACACGCCCCCACTGATTGGATACCTCCACCTGGCCTGACCCACCCTTGTATTTGGGCTTTGTTACCTGGGACTGGTTTCCAGGACTTGTTTCTAAGTAAGTCCCCTGGGGGGAGGGGGGGACCGGGACAGTTTAAGTTTTACTGTATAAACAACAAAGTCATTCAAGGTCATAGTTTAACCAGATGGAATTGCTCTGGCTCAATAGGCCCTTACATTGCCCACATACCAAGTAGATCATTTTGGGGCAGCCACTTGACAAGTATTGTATTCTTCGCAAGATTTGGTGGTGGAGTGCCAGTATACCGCCACAGGACCTTGCAGAGACAAGAATAGAGTTTAAGGAACACAAGGATTCAAAAACATCCGTGTAGTAGCTGGAAGGCGGCGTCCTCTGAATGAACATAACCTTGGCGAGGGTGGGACGTGTCGTGATTAGGAAGGCTTTGGGGACTGGTAACACTCTATGTATTTGTGCAAATTCATCAAGCTGTACAGTTATGATTTTTGCACTTTTCTGCACTTCAAGGGGAAGTTTACTTAACAAAGTGAGTGAATGTAGAATTAGAGAAGCAAAAGTATAAGAAATGAATCCAGTAGCTTTTTGTGGAAATACTCCTACATAATATGAAGAAACACTATCCTGTACATTATCCTGTTTACTTTATCTTTAAAATAAATTCTCCTTGGAGCATGCAACACTTGATCTTGGGGTTGTGAGTTTGATCCCCAGGTTGGATATAGAGATTACTTTAAAAAATAAAATCTTTACAAATTAATTAGTTAATAAAATAAAATAAATTCTCCTTAGTACACTTTTGAGTTTCTTAGAGAAAATGAGACCTCCAAGTGAAGTAGACCACGGTTTAAGAATAGTTGAGAGTGACATGGCAAAAAGAACTTGGGGTTAATAATTGAGAAGTGGCAGGGAAGCCCAAACCGGAAGTCCAACTGATAGGATTAACATCGATACTTAGAAGTCTGGGGTTCCAACCTTTGGGAAAATAGAATTGTATGGAATCTTCTTACTGTCTGAGGTATTTTGCCCAAGGCATCAGCAATTTCCATAGCTTTCTTCTCGGGAATCTCTGAGACCATGGAGCCCAAAGAGAAAACCACAATTCCATGTTCTCCGGAAGCATTAACATAGGCTTCAAATTCCTAGAACCGTAAGAGAAATTTCCAGTTAATTTTTTTCTCACCTTCTTTGGGAACTGCATACATTCAACTATGAATCAGATGTCTTCATCTTAAGAATGTGATTAAAGTGTGTCTGTGTGTCTGTGTGTGTTAGAGATACAAAGTATTAGTGCATGTTACAGCCTTCCCTCCCCCACCTACTCCCTTCCAAAGGAGGAAGGCTTCTTGCAGATCGGGTTGTCTCCTGGGTTCTCCTCTTCTTCTTTGAGTTGCAGAATCCGGGTAGTATACTAATTTTCTTTTTTTTCTTTTTAAGATTTTATTTATTTATTTGACAGAAAGAGATCACAAGTAGGCAGAGAGGCAGTCAGAGACAGAGGAGGAAGCAGGCTCCCCTCGGAGCAGAGAGCCCAATGCGGGGCTCGATCCCAGGACCCTGGGATCATGACCTGAGCCGAAGGCAGAGGCTTTAACCCACTGAGCCACCCAGGCGCCCCAGTATGCTAATTTTCCAAAGGAAAAGCAACCAGAGATTAGACCAGATCCACTTCCCAGGGCTTCAAGCAGCTGGGAGGGTCTTGGAAGAAAGCAGGCTTTCAGGAAGGGGACTAAAGGAAAGAGCAGAAGGCAATAGGAAGGAGGGAAAGGTAAATGTGCATCACAGAGAAGGGAGAGAGCTGTTTAGCAGATCAGTGAAGGGAGATCTTGGGAGAGAGGAAAGCTGTCCAAGGAGGGTTTCAGAAAGCTTTCTGCAGATTCTAAAAGTCCTGTACCACCCCTTTAAGAAAAGCTATGGTAAAGATGTGTATTATTTTCCAAGGCTTCTGCAATATTCCTTTTATGTTGAAAGAATGAATGGAGCCCAAGCAGAAAGGCAAATAGTGTTGAAGATAAGGCTCATGGTTAAGAAAAACCTCAAATAGCCAAGACAGCCTGTACCAATACATGCTTCCCCACAGCCCACAGCAGAGTCTTCCACATGCCAGCCAATACGCTGGGGTGATTAGGGATTATACTCATGTCATCTCAGTGCTGAAACTTAACCAATCAACCTGGCAATTTCCCACCTTTCCTGGAGAAGAGCTTTCTGAAGAGTGTTAGTCAACTTTCCTGCCTCAGCAAGAACATACAGAAGGATACCTGAATCTTTCTTTGCCAGCTTCGTAATGGACAGTAAAAAGCAAAATATTTCTCCTTAGGTATGAGAGATACAAAATAGGACAGAAAACCTTGCACCAGGATCTGAGCCCCTTCTGCAGAATTCAGAGAGGGTCACGGGCATGCGAGCAAACCCTGAGTACCAAAATCACCTGTGGGAAGGATAAACAAGAACCCACCCAGCACGTGACCCCCCATAGAGTGTTCCTGTCCCATTCCAGAAACTGATCCCTTCTAGCAATATATCTATCCCCATCATTTAAGGAAGATTGCAAGTAAGGCTGTTCTGATGCCTCCATACAAGATCACCATTGTGCATTTCGGTCTTGGCCATGTAAGGACAAAACTCAAGACAAAGCAATGGGTCTTTTTTCTGAAGAAACTTCTGGGCCAGATGACTCAAGGAATAAGGAATGAACTGTGAGTGGTTTTCTAGTCAATAATGAACCTTACAACTACTAGAAAGCAGACAACCCACTGTTCTTTTGGATGAAGCAGGGGGATAGGATCTTCGGAAATGTCTGCATATATAAGGGTGAGAGACTGTGATGGCTGGGACCCCACTAGTAAGCACAGTTCACAGATTATAACCTATCAAGCCTCTGCCCCTAAAGTCAATAGACTATAGAGATGGATGTCAGACAGAAGCTCTGAGAGGAAGCAACAAAAAGATGACCAACCAGAGCAGCAGCATTACCTTCAGTGTGGAAACAGGGGAACCTGGAGTCAAGAGTGGTGGCTGTGTCCCCAGGAAGAGAGGAAGGATGTACCCAGACTCAACCCTCAGCAATAATTTCAGCCCAGCCTGATCTGGCCCCAAACTTCAAAGCCAACTCCAGGGTATTGTGGTCTTCAGAAAGCACATACATACTCAGGCATAATCCTGCATGCACACATCTGTGGGGACACACACAGAGTGGCAATTCCACATAGAGGAAATACAGGAGGTATGAGTGTGGTGATTTTCCCCCAACTGTAGGTTATTCATCATCTAATGAACTCCCCTAGAGTCTTCCAAATGGTTTTGTATGTTTCCCAAGAATGCCAAGGACATTAATGAGACTGTGTGATGTGCTGGGTTTTGCTCAGAACTGAGGGGCTTCCTGAGATATGGGACTTTCAGTCCTGTTCAAGCCAGAATGCTGGGCACTCTGGGTGTGACATGGAGAGGACTTCTCACAAGGCTCAGCACACATGATTTTAAGAGATTTCTTTCAGGTTTGGTTCAGAGCATGACCAATAAAGCCCAAACACTGCCGAACCCTCCTCAGGTGTGAGCCCCAGATTGGTCCACCCCCTCCAGCTCTCTCCGAGGCCTCTGGCTCCTAGCGGCTATGTCCTAGCCTTCTCCACTGGGCTCATCTGAAAGGTCAAGGAGGCCAGCATCATCCCCTCCAACACCATGCTGCATTTCTGGCCTATGAAAAAAACATCCTAAAGATGGTTTTCCTGAAGTCCTTCCTCCCCAGGATTACACCACATCCTTCTTTCCTCAGAAAGACAGCTCATCTCCAAGTACCTTTTGAACTCTTTCTTCTTAGTGAAAGTAAGCAGCTCACCTTACTTCCTGGGACCTTCCCTCTTCCGTGAAACCCATTCTTACTTTAAGCCTAACTACAAAGATCCACATCTGGTTTCCCCTCCTTGTACACTGTCCCACACCCACTCAACACCCAGTGAGGTGTGATTATCATAAAATGGAACCCACAGGTCCATAAACACCCAAAGGTACACAGCGAGACTAAAGTTTAAATGTCTCGGAAGTTCATGTACAGATCACAGAAGGGCAAACTGCAGAGATTGTGTTGTCACACCCAAAGCCTTGCCTGGGCCAGGTCTTCCAGAATTCAGCCATGGTGAGGTCCACACCCTGCTTGGCAAAACTTCCCCAAACATGGCCTTGACTTCACAGACGGTAGAATGGCCTAAGAGTGAAGCGACAGGTTAATGAAAATAACCCTCAATTCCCCCACCTGTTATCCCTTCCAAAAAGGACGAGACCCCCTCTGAAGTGAGAGCACTTGCCTACTGTTGAAGGCTTTAACACAGGTTCTAACTTTTGCTGAGAGTTTAGTATTTTGAGTTCCAGGCTTTTATTAGATTTTCTCTTTCCATATGTCATCTGTTTCTCCAAATCCTTGGTAAGTACTTAGCATGTTGGAAAACTTGCTTTATCACTATGCATTCAGAACCATGGACAAAGACTGCTGGCTTCCGGGCTCACCAGTCCTCCTCGCCATCATCAAGTCTCTGTTCTCACTGACCTTTTGTTTGGCTGTTTCCCTCAGACTCAAAATATCTGGATGGATATCATCTCTGAATCCCCACACATTCATAAAGACGGTCTCTCACTCTGAGCGGGGAAAGACATCTTGGAATCCTTGAGCTTTGCTCTCAATGTTGTCCTACTATCTTTTATCTGCCAGGTATCCCAGATATGCCCAACACCAGATAAGCCTTCCATTTGGACTCTCTTTACCAGCTAAAGATTGTATCTCTATTCTTGAAGTTCAGGACTTTGACCAAGAGCACTGGGACAGGGACAATCTCCACATGAGTAATGGAAGCATAGAAAAGCATTCTTTAATCACCCAAGGGGAGAAAAGAAAATAAGTAACAACTTGTCAACCCACCAAAAATCAGGAAAAGGGAAAATGACCAAGTAAAATAAAAATAAACTGGTATAGTTAGAATCAAATCTAGCAATTGTTAAATTAAGTGCAAACAGGCAAAAGTCTCCTGACCAGGTTACAAATATCAGCTCTGTGTTTAAAAAGAAGAAGAAGAAAGAAAAAAAAAAAAAAGCTTGAAGACAAAGAGTACAAAAGAGGCACTAAGGAAATGTAAACCAGATAGTGAAGGAATGGTAATATTAACATCAAAAAAGTGGAATTTCAAATTACAAATGTTAAGTAGGACAGAGAGTGTTGCTGTCCAGTACGGGTTACAAAGACATTCTCACGCCAAGGCTTGCTTGCACCAAATGAGGAAGCAACCAAGACATAGTCATTACAACTCAGCACGTAGACAAATTTCTGACAAAGAAAATATATTGATAAATGATGCCAAAGCTGTGATATTGAGAAAGATGGTAGACAAAGTTCTGTAGCCCCTCTTAGTACACATCCTAAAGTAAAGAAGGAAATCATTTAAATAAATAAAGACTATTTGCCAAAAAACAACGGCAAATGTGACACAAAATGATGAAATGAAAATCAATCTTCATTACAATCAGGAGCAAGATAAGAATCCTTGTGATTGTCAAAATTATTCAATTGTTTTTAAGGATTCTAGTGAATTCAGTAAGATCAATGCCGGGCATAGAATTCACAACAGAAGAATCCATATTTTCTTGATTGATGAAAGTCTGCATACTGTTGTTGTTGTTTTTTTAACGATGAAATCGATATTTTGATTAGGCTGAATTTTGATTCGGGCCTGATCAGTGAGTAGATAACCAGGTACAAACAGAAATGGAAAAACTATCATTTCACAAGAGTGACCAAAAAGAAGTGTAAAATACTTAAGGAAAACTGAACAAGAAAGGAACACAAAAATATGAAGGAAACTACAAAGTGTCCTTGATCTTTGATAAGGTATCATTAGAAGTAACAACAAGAAGGGCAAGGACCTGGAGTATAAACTTCAGTTTTCTTCCTAGGAAACAAGATTACATGGTTAACAGAATAACCTGTGGCATGTAAATACCATGAAACATGGCGCAGTTAAAAAAAAATAGATAGAATATTTAGAACCAAAATGATACCCATGACATATTTATAAGGGAGCCATGGGTATGCTATGGGTATGCTAGCCATGGGTATATTATTACCCTTTTTGTAAAACAAGCAAAAAAACATCAA